AGATAGAATTTATTAATTACTCTTATTACCTTTGTTCGAGACTACAGATGAAACTGCTTTCATGCAGTTTCACAACCGACCCGGCAGAGACAACGTATTTTGACTTATAGGTTCTTCTCATCTTAGAAGACCAAATGGCTTAACAAGGATAATACCCAGAAACAACGATTAGCGTAAGTCTTCCATAGAAGTTCCAATGCATCGTAACTAGCAATATTTAATTCCGAGTTGAAGCACCAACAATTATAATAGCGTACTCTGAACCTAAGTAAATACGAAACATAAGTTTAAACTGTCTGGCCTTTGAGGCTACTTGGTCACTTAGCCCAAAACATCGTTAATCCCAAAAAAATATTGAAAGGTGGTTGATGATTTGAGTCAAATTATAGACTTCTTTGTATAATTAAATATTACCGCAATCAGCACGCATATTTTCATGCCGGAGCAAGTATTCCATTATACTAAAAGTAGCCTGTTTAATTACATGTGTGACCAACCTGTTCCTATAGTACGACAATTATGGTTATGGATTTTATTATAATATAACATAAGAAATGTACTTGTACTCGTTGAGAGCTTCTTTATTAATAATGTCCAATTATTTACATTTTAATCTTAAAGTTAAAATTATAATCTTATAATACCGTTTCTCAAAATCGAATTAGTTTATAAACATATTACCGTTGGTTCGAACTAAGAGAGAAAGCATGTGGTGACAATTTCAATAAACAACACAACAATTAATTACTTAATAATACTAAATAAATTGGCTCCACATACATATTTAGTACGTCCCTCATATAGCAAATATGTTTCCCCACTGAATGTATAATGAGTAATTCTTCATGCTCTGCTCTAGGTGGTTAGGGTGCCATCGCCATATTTTTAAAGAGCTATAGTTCCAACATACTTTAAGTCCATTAATATAATTTCAGTGATTTTCGAGGGTGCGTTGGTAGCTGAGGAAAAAATCTGATCCTTATAGGTTCAGATCCTTGTACATATAAATAACTGTTAGGATGTGAGTGCTTTTTAAGGATATGTCGCATATGACTTAATATGAAAATGGTATTAGTTGAGAGATTATTTATGGGCTGTTTGAGTGTCCTTATATTGAAAACATTATGAACTCAAGCAAGAAGCGCTTGCATTTGCAAAGTCGCCTGCAGTAAATAAATTCAAATAAGTGAAAATCCTATGCTTTAAAGACACTACGATTTTAGCTTTCTTGTTTTTCGTATATGAAATATAAAATTCCCAAAAAATTGGCAAATAATGGAAGAAACGTTATTGCAACATCTTAAGTCCCTCCTAAAAATGCAACGAATTTTTCGGTGTTCAAGTTTTGTACTCAAATTGGAAAGGAAGTTGACAAAATATAAGAGCCAAAATGCTTCACCCAAAAAGCATTTACCAGTTTCATTCTCAAGGATTCGAGGAAGAGTAAGTGTTTACATTAATGCATGCATGTTTAAATCAATGTCTGCTTTGCAAATCCTTTAACTTAGTTTTTTGTAATGATTAGCTTGATATATATATAATCTATATATACACATAAGCACAAACACGTATAATAATATTTATAAAGATTGCTTTTTTTTTGTGTGGACTGATTTTATGTATGAATAAGCAATTACTTCTAAGTAGTTAAGTAATATGAATACGTGTATAATGCATTGCTTAATAAAAATCAAGCAAAGATTTCAAACCTCAAAGGCAACTAATGATGTATACAAATGCGCTACGAGGGCTGCTTTATATATTTCGGGTCTAGGCAACACTAAGTGTTGCCAGGTGCTATCTGACATTTTCATTGGAAAGGTTGACATTTTTTAGCATAACATCACTTAGAACGTGTTGTCATTTAATTGTGAATTGCTTTATTTACAGAGACTTGGAAAATTCATCTCGGCCAAAAAATTCAATTAACACGTGGATTATCACAACAAGAGTGCATTGATGAACTTAAACCTTTGTATGGCGATGAAGCGCTATTCTATAGCGTTGTGAAAAACTGGCTTAACGAATTCAATCGTGGTCGACGCTCGCTCAACGACGAATTCCGTGAAGTTCGTCTAAAAACATGCAAGAACGTCATGTGACATACCGTGAGATAGAGGCATCCTTAGGCATTTCTCCCACCACCATACATTTGATATTGCATATACACCTGGCCTGGTTTGTTCTCGTTGGATACCGCACAATTTGACAATCGCTCAAAAAAAGGCTCATGTCGATTGGTGCAAAGAATTGTTAAAAAAGTACGTTTGCGGTTTCAACGTTTATAAGATCGTCACAGGTAATGAATCATGGATCTATGCGTATGAGCCCGAAACAAAACAACAGTCGAACGTGTGGGTCTTCAAAGACTAGAAAAATCCATTCGCATTTTCATTATTAGGCCAGAAATGTTTATAGCAGCCCTCGTACTCCTTAAAGAATATTTTTCTGGCTGAACTTACATATAAAATAATAAAAACAGTAATTCTCACACAATCACATATCACCTCAATTTTTGATTTCAGATATTCGATTATCATATTTTATATCTACTGTTGAGTAGGTGATCGTTTCCTGGATGTAAAAGAAAATTAATTAAATAAATTATTAAAATTCAACTGGTATATCGAGTTCAAGCGACTGGGTTTTATAACATACATGGATTTATGGACTCGCGATGTTAAACGTTATTATCAATGAGATGTATACAATCATAAGATGTGTTTAATAAACTTTTTCGCAGCAATTTAGGTGGTGAGAACCACGAGAAATATTTAAACAATTCAGAAAAGCTGGCTTTGGAGTATTTTGTATTTACAATATATAAAGTTTTAATGTTAAACTAGTTACTAAAGTAATAGGTTAGATTAGGTTAGAAACGAATTTGTTTCATTTATATTAATCTGAGTCATGTCACCATGCAGCGTCTATTTAGATAGCGGTGCATAGTGTGGCAGTATTAAAATTAGACTATCAGAGTTTGAAATTTTCTGAACTAGTAGAGATACTCAAATGAAATTGTCTATAAATTAAAGAATGGGCTTTCTTATGAACGTATTTTAAGCTGGAACCAAACCTAACCTAACTGGAACCTCCCCAAATTCTATAAATGGGTTTGTTCAAGTTAGTTTCTGCTTTTCTCTTCATAAATTGTTTTCTTCATTTCAGTCATTCTTTAAAAAATTTTATTTTTTTAGTGCATTTTTTCAGCTATGCATGATTGAAAATAAGTTCAAATTTGTTTCAAGTAGCAGTGGCGTAGCTAGATTGGTACTAAGAGGGAGAAGAGGGGTTTGTTAATAGAATATATATTCACAGTGTTTCTGCAGTCTTATATTCGTAGATTATATAGTCAGGATGGGATCTACCTACAGCTCTCATCTTAGTTCCTAACTGCTGCAAGTAAAGTCTTACGATAGGCTTTTTTGAGACACTTTGGTGATTTTACAAGAGAATTCTTAAAATAGTAGAATATTGCAAAGAAAAATATATTGAAGGAAAATAGAAGCTCATGGTAAGCGGCAGAGTTCTCTGGTTTAATCAAATAATTAAGATATCGGTTCGATAATAAATTGTTGCGTTTTCCATATTTTTTAAGCATAAACATTTGATGTTGAAAAATATTATAAAAATACTATTATGATTACGTAAATATGTGTGATAGGACTTCAGTAAAAAATATCGAGTTAATAATGGGCCTATTATGGGGAATGGGAGCCGATTTGACCTGGCGTGCGCATTAAGCGTGAATTTCCTTTCCGCATCTACAGAGGGCGGGGTGGCTAGTTTGGCCACAATTGCATTACTTTGGAAGTATATTTGAGAGCTGTGGTTAGGTTGTAGGATTACGTGCTTGTCCTTGGCGCGAGTTTCTCCATAGCGAACGCAACGGCGAGATAAGTTGCAAAGTTTAGCGGTATCATGATATCGCTGATAGTTGGTGCACTGGGAAATTTCAGTGTGAGATTTTCGCTGAAGAAAGATTATTAAGTTCAGGGATAGGAGCCTAGTGACACTTAACAGCGACATGTGCTGGATGTAGCTTCAAGAGAAAAGAGGTGGCATACCTGCTTGGGTTGCGTTGGACAATGCGAGAGGGTAAGAAGAAATAAGTAATTTTCTTCACCGTAAGAAGAGGGGACATTCTTCAAGAGGACTGAAGTAGTCCGGTCCTATTGGGGAATAGACGCAAAGGAGAGGATTGTATCTCTTTAAGGAGAGTGTAAATGTTTTGGATAGAATCCTTGTCTCTTGCAAGAATTCCGGTGGTAGTGACACCTGTTCGATTTTTCGTCTCCTTTCATATGTTTTTTTCCTAATTGGACTTTTGCTGTTGTTGTTATTCATTAGGTATGTGGCTTACATCAAATTTATTGCGTATAAAGTAAAAACAAAAATTTTGTGTTTACACCTAATGGAAAACGGTTAGTGTTGTTAAAAAGTTTACAACCAATGAAATGATTGATAATAGTAAGTTTATTTACTATTTGTTGTTGTTTCAATTTTCAATTATATCAATTATATTTAAAACGCAATATATTTGAAGTTTCTATCAATGAGCCTAATTGTCAAAATCTCATGGGTCAATATCTTTTAGAAAAAATTTTAAAAATTTTTCTCGAGATACGGATGTTTTTGTTTTATAAAAGGAGCTCATAAAAATTTTTTTAGCCAAATCGGATGAGGTCAAACAATTGTGTCCGATTTGTAAAAGAATGACCTATACGCAGTTCATGCCGCCTCTGCCTTTCACCTTCAAAATAACCTCGATAAGTTAATATTTTTAACAAAAAAAAAAAAATTTAGAAATATACACCGAAGAGTATAATAACATTTTTTATAATTAAAACAACTGTTTCTGTGCTGTATAACAAGAATCTGTACTCTTTATGTAACTACTAGAATGAAAATAGCTATAGAGAAACCAAATGTTTTTAGTTCTTATTTATTTCCAAGCACTATTATGGACTTGCAAAAATCTATAAAAGGGACGAATAGGTACGTCGGATCTCAGAGTAGCAGAAAGGATGAACAAAGTAGGAGTATACACATTTTTATCAATCATTGTTGGAATTTGCAGTGGTAAGATGAGCAATTTCTTCATAATATATTTAATTAATTTTTAAATTTATATATTAACAGCTCAGTCAAATCGGTATAGTCAAAATGAGCCGATTAGACCAAGTGCATACGATGATTACTATGATGATTATGTTGATTACTTGTATAAACAATATTTAGAGTATGGTATTGACTCCGCAGAAACCACGCCCAATACTAACAATCCTCTTTCCGATGAAATTGATATTATTGCAAACGCTATTTATACTGCTATTGTTGCTACTAGTGAGACGGATATTGACTGTGACAACGTACAAACCATTGAAGGTGCTCGTGCAGGTGCAATTGCTGGTGCTATTGCTGGTGCTATTGCTGGTGCTAGTGCAGGTGTTAGTGCAGCTGCTAATGATGACAGTAGTAGTGGTTTAACAGGTGGCTTTAGGGCGGGCAGTCCTGCTGGAAGTGCTGTTAAACCAAATGATAATTTTCCCAGTGTAGGTCCTGAAAGAGGTAATCAATATCGCGGCAGATCTTAAGGGATTTATACTGTATAAAATATCAAACTTTAAAATTGTTTTGCATATATATTTTCATCCGGCGTACACCACAATTAAAATCAAAGTAAATCTAAAGTAAAATTTAATAAATAATTTCATTTGAATCAATTTTTTTAATTTGACGAGAGCTGATTACGTTCTTATTTAAACCCACATATAGCAGTATTACCCCACAGAGTATTATAACTAGACTTAGTCCCAATAACCGTATTACCAGCTAAGAGTTCATCAATAGTTGTACTGTGTGATACCAAATTAATTTGTTTGATGTTTCCATGGTCTTATGCTAACCTCAAGCCGTTTGTCTCTTAGAGATATAGGTTTAGTTGAAATATTTCTTCAAAAAACTTTTGTTTTCTATAAAATGATTTTAGAGTTCTATGGAAGACATTAAGAGCAGGATAATGAAACTTGAAATTGCTCTTAGTATGTTAGTTGTTCAGAAAACTAAAACTCAAAATATATTCTGAATGTATCGGTTTAGTCTTGCAAATATTTCGATACTTTATAGTTAATTTTCAATTTTCACGACTTAGGGTTTTCAGATTATCTTTACATATGTGAGAGAATCCATTTCAATGGATTTGTTTTCGCATAAGTAATCATATAAAGCCAACAGTATGCGTTTGCCGAGGTGTACATGTTTGTTTCGCTGAAATATATCATCCATAATAACAATACAATCATCTCTTAAGAGTTTTTCGGTTCGTTTCTTTGTGCCTGCGCCCAAAAGCACACAGCAAAATATGCAAATGCATTAAGGCAATGTGACTGCATGAGAAAGTGAATGTTGTGTGGATGTTTGAGTAGATGTTCGAGTGGGAAGCAGACAGCTTCAAGTCGGAAATGGGGAAATAAAGTGACAGTAAGAAGTTCCGTTCCAAAGTTGTTGACTGTTTGGATTCTCATATGCGTTTGCCTTTGAAATTGAATAGAAGTTCTGGTACGTAGGTGAAAGCGGTTGTACAAATGGAATATTTCACTAAAAATAAATTAAGTGCATTTTAAGATTGTTTAAGGAATTGTAAATGTTTTGTTGTTTTAACAAAGAAAAAACAGTCATGAAAAAACAGCATTGCATATTTAAATAATTTATTTTGGATCTTGTTTTGTTAAAAAAATGTTATTTAACTTTGTTTTAATCAACAATTTTTTTAAAATAATTTCATTGGTGCATGAAAAGCAATTATAAGTCAAAACTTTTTAAAATTGAAACCGAAAAAGAGAAATAATTAACAGTGAAGAGAACGAATTATAAATTGTATATTTGACTAATTTTATAATGTTGTTGATTAGTTCAATATATAGCAATTAATTTGCATAATAAGTTTGATCAGTTATATTTAACACATCAAATAAATATGAATAACGATATAAATCTAGCTGGTCAAATACAAATAAATAAGAATAATGAGTTCATTTCATATGAACAGATTTTTTCAATATGATCAAATGAGTTCATCTGTTCCAAGTGACCTTCACGACCCATACAATTAAAACGAGCCAAACATACATATATACCTGAATAACAAGTTTGAAAAATGCAGTTAAAATATTCCTAGTAAAGAAATATATTTAAGTAATGCGATGCGAAATAAATCTTTACGATCAGTTATATCGAAACGTCTAACTTGGTGAACATAAATAGAAGAATTCAAAGAAATAAATTAATCAATATGATACGATTGAACAAATGCTGGAATACCATCAATTCAGCTTTAGAACCAGCCACTCAACAACTAGTCCATCGAATTAGTAATATAACACAAAACTGTTTGGAAAAGAAGGAAATGTGTTCGGTAGTGTTCCTTGATATTTCGCAGGCATTTGACAAGGTGTGACATAAAGGTTCTATGTGTAAATTACAAACGTTTTGCCATAACAATATTGCGATCTTATAGAATCTTATATAACAAATAGAGTTAAATACGGTTGCTACTCAAACCTAAAAGAAATTAAAGCGGTTGTTCCACAGGGAAGCGTTCCTGGTCCCATACTCTTTCTTTTGTTTACTAATGATATTCTAGTAACAGAAAATTGTAAAACTGCAACGTTTTCTGATAATACAGCTCTAATTTCAATTGTTTCTAATAAAATGGAAACAACTAAAACCCTCCAGATTTCTAATATTATTTCTATAATAATATTTGTTTAATATTATATTAATAATATTTGTAAGTGGATGAAACAATGGCGACTCAAGCTGCAAATTATATATAAATGGACTGGAAATACCCTATGCAAATTGGTGCAAAATAAACCCCTGATTTATAATCAAAACTTAAAGCCTCTTTGGACATATGGTGTACAGTAAAGGGGATGCACCACTAAGAGCAATGTATTGATATACCACGTTCCCAAAACAAAACGCAAAGAAATATTGTAAATGCATCTTGGTACATTCGTAGTACAGACCTACATCGTTATATGGGAATCAAAGCCATCAAGGACGTATACAGTTGTTTGCGCAATGAAAATTACTCAACATGAAAATGCACACGATTTACAATTACTCAACGCAAGTAACTCAGCACGGAGATTAAAACGTTCAATGCCCTTTGACCTCATTAAGTAATAAAACCTAAATGTAAAAATATTTATAATTTACCAAACTAAAAATGCTTGTTAGTCCTAACTATATTTACTAGTTGCATTAATAAAAAAAACAAAAAGACATAAGGGAGTTGAGGGAATTGAGCTATTTTGGTAATGGTCTAACGGACTAGAAACAATGATTAAAAGGTTCTTAGTCAAATATGATATATTTTACATAGATATGTTGTTTTAACACACATTTTGGTAGGGCTATATATTTTATTAACCATTATCGCTATTTATACAGAAAAATTATTTGTATACGTGTTGATTGGTGATAATCAATGAATAATTGGTCTACCAGGTGCTAATAAGTAAACTTTTTCCTGTATATTGCTTAAGTTATTCATATTATATATGTGGCAACGCTAAATTAAAAGTGACACATAGTTTTTGACATAGAGTATGAAACGAGTTAGTTATAGTTAAGCATTGTACGAGAAGAGTAAGAAATTGAAACGTGTTAAAAATAAAGGAAAAACTATTGCTTAAAATATCAGAAGTGGGATTACTCAACATTAATAAAATGTCTGACATCAAAAAACTTCAGCTTTATACTTTAGTTGAATTAAAAGCTTGGTTGGAGGAGCTTGGATGTAAAACAAGTGGTAATAAAAACGAATTAATTCGCCGATTAATTCAAATACCTGAGGAACGCCGTGGTGTTTTTCTAGGAAAAACGACAAAAATATTAAATGATGTGACGCTTACGGAACATGTTGGCGCCGACGCCGATGCATGCGCAAGCAACAACAATAGTAACTCTGAAGAAGATGACAATCATATTCTTGAGGAACAACAAATTATACAAACACATAAAAAGAAGAATCAAATGAGTGAAATTGTAAGTCAGAAACAAATGATAACAGAACAAATGACAGCGAATATGAGTCGAATGAGTGTTATGAACACAAATATTGAGCGAGAAGAAAATAATAACAGTGTCTCTGCTGCACAAGTCAATTCGTTAAAGGAGAACGAAAATGAACTCTTGAAATGGGAGCTCAAACTGTTAAAACGAGAGCTAAACATAGAAAGACGAGAAAAAGAAATTTTAATGAGAGAAAATAAAACATTAAAAAAACAAAGCCAACAGAATGAAAAAAAAGATTACGCGTTAAATAATAAAGTTAATTTTTCAACTATAAAAGAATTGCTGTCCGAATTTTCTGGAACTGGTGATAATTTTCAGCTTTGGGAAGCACAATTACAAAGTATCCGAACGGCTTATAATCTGGATGATAATAATACTAGAGCACTGATTTCTAACAAACTCAATGGAAAGGCGTTAAAGTGGCTACATACAAGAAACGATTTAATGACTGTACCAATTGAAACCCTAATAAACGATATGGGGAAACTGTTTGAAGACCGCTCAACTAAACTGCAGCTGAAACGTACATTTGAAGCCAGAAGGTGGCAAACAAATGAGACTTTTGAAGAATATTTTTACGATAAGACCATTCTCGCGGGTAAGTTGTGCATTGAAGAAACTGAGCTGCTGGAGTACATTGTGGAGGGGATTCCAGACTATGGTTTATGTTCACAAGCTAAATTACAATGTTTCCGTGACAAGTACCAACTGTTGGAAGCGTTCCACAAAATAAGTCTTCCAAAACCAGCAACACCAAAACAATCATTGACTGTTCGCCAGAACACTTCGAATGAAAAATCAACATCAGCCGATTTTGTGGTTTCTGCATCGACTCGTTGCTATAATTGCAACTCTCTTGGGCATGTTGCAGCTGAATGCCGCAAACCAAAGCGGGAGCCGAGGGCGTGTTACGTTTGTGCGCAAATGGGACATCGAGCAGCTGACTGCTCAATGAGGAAAACGCAAGTTCATTATGCCGACGCTGTTGAGGGTGATAACGAATACGTAAGAAATATAAAATTTAGTTTTAATTATTCAAATATTGATCAGTCACTTTATTTAGAATCATTAATTGACACTGGTAGTCCAATCAGTTTTATACGCCAACAGTTCGTGCCACTTGTTAAGTTAATAAATCAAGAAAAATGTAAAATTTTAAATTTTTGTGGTATAAACAAAAGTCATTTACAAATACTTGGACAAATAGTATGCACAGTTTTATATGATAATAAAAAAATAAATCTTAAATTATTCATAGTAGCTAATGAAACTATGAGTTACCCAGTTCTATTAGGAAGAGACTTTTTGAAGAAAGCTAAATTAAAATTAGTAATACAACATGATCCAACTGAACAGTTAATTAATTTTAATCAAAAGAATAAAGATTGTGATGAAAATACTATTAACGATTTAATGAATATTGAATACCATGAACCAATTCATGAGATTAGTGTTAATAATAGTGATGTTGACTACAATACTAGAAAGAAATTTAATATGTTGTATGAAGATTATGTAAACCGCAAACGTCCAGATGAACCTGAGATAAAGTGCGAAATGAAATTAATTTTAAATGATGATAAACCCTTC